TTCATTGTCACAATGGTCTATATCGGCTAGTCTTATGCAAAGAATAATCATAGATTTTGAAACTCCAACCTTTAATTTGTAGCTATGGTTGGAGAAAAAAGTAAGTATAAAGCCAGCATGTGTTGGCTTTCTATAGACATGCCTGCTTAGCTTCTCACCTGCTCTGATCACTAATACATCTTAAAGTAACCTGATCTGGATACTGGGTCAACTCTCTCCCTAAAAGTGGGCATGACTAAAGAAAGTGTCATAGTTAACTTGACAACCGTTTTTACTCTCCTCTTCTTTGCTAGTTCGTCTATCTTTTTAGAAAGAATGCGCAAAGACAAAGACGAAACATAGGACAAGGTGTCCATATCTTTCCTTACGTATTTACCATTCAGACTAATCTACCGCTATTTTTAATCAAACCTATGAGATCCAGTTCTTTATCACAATGGTCCCTATCGGCTGATCTTATGCTCCGTATAAGCGTAGATTCTCTTCATCAAACACTTTCACTCGAAATGGAATAAGGCTCACTAATATTGTCATCCGAATCGCTCCTGGTCGGTTAAGGTGACGCAATAACTGACATTTAAATAAGTAAGCTCCACGACGACCATCTTGGATGATTTGCAAGCAAGAACCTTTGCTTGTGAGGAAAGTTGATGTCTTCTTGAAACGCCGAGTCTACCGGACTTCCGAATGAGGGCCAAACTGGCTTAGACTTGAAGCGAGGTCGACTCGAGCGTGGATAAAAAGACGGTTTTTGGTGCAAATTTGAGTAAAGTCGACAGGCACCATGAGACCTTTTACTAGTTTTCTTCTGGGACTGTTTAATTTTGAGTCTGCAAATCACTTTAGGCGACCAAAGGTGGCAAAGTTTTTATTCTTGATTGAAATGTTGCATATCCTCGCGTCGCTACAGCTCATCACTATTTGGACGGTGTTTGGGCAAGTCGCCAGAACAAGTACCGAAACTGCCACTAGCCGGAGCGAGATGAGACGAGTGCAGGTCCAGACAAAGCCGGAATCAGTCTGCATTATTCAGAGACTGGCAGAATGGGTCAGTAAAAGCGAAATTGAGACGACAAATAATAAACTTTACTCATTTTTATTGACGGTCTATTAACAAGCAATGCAAAGGAGCCTGTCGAAGCGTCTCTTTCGTCCAACAATCAAGGCAAACTGACTCAAGGCTACCGTTTCTGCGACAGCAGCAGCAACAACACTAGTAGCAATGGTTGTGTCCACCGTGTCCCTTTGTCGGCTGACTAGAAACGCTCGTGGCTGGCATTCAGTCTGGCCTTCAAGCATGTTTGTTTGGGCAGAAGAGGGGTTTCTGGGCAAGACCGGGGCTGACGTGACTAGAGCTAAAAGGAGGAGGTGTATTTCGAAGAATCCCATAATAAATTCATTTGGTGAATTTGGGGAGGGGATTCGTAAAGTGGCCTCACCAGAAAGCGAAAGAGTTGCGATTTTGGATTTGCTCGACCTCGACGAATGAACTCATAATGAGCTTTCTGCTGTCCTGACGTAGCAGGCAGCTACAGACCGGGAAACCGTGCTACATACACGAAGAAAAGTTGGGTTTCGAGCAATCTCTTGTTGCATAATTGTTGAGTTTACTTCCATTTCGAG